CGTTTTTTGTCTCTAGACGCTTGTCTATTTACGCTGGTTTCGTCATTTAAAGATAAGTCCCTATTGAACAAGGTAAAAATATATTCGACGATTAAAAGAAACTCTTCGTGCAATAAATAATTCAAAAAGTATTCGACTTACAGATACTCACACGATATCACGCGATCGATGTCTCGTATTAATGAAAGTGGGTGAAATTGACCTCGGGACGGTTGACAGTCTACATGCGCGAAAGCGGTTTGTTCTCTTTTGAAAAGAGATATAGGTATATATGGTTTCTTCTGATATTATTTTATAAGATATATAAGAAGAAAAATTAACATGAATTAATTACTAATATGAACAATTAATTACTTGTTATTTTAAAGAAAAAATGTTTTAGTCTACTAAAAATTTTTTTAAAAAAATATTGCAAAAATCCAAAAAAAATCGAAATAGCACTTATACTCCGAAATATGCAAATTATGCATGTTTATGAGCTGATAATTTTTATACAAACGTGATCGTTACAGCTGATACGGATATATCAGGGCTTATTTTGCCCTATATTTTATTATACATTACATTATGATTTATCAACAAAGTAAAAAGGAAATTTACTAAAAAATATTAAAAAAAGTGAACACTTTGAACAAGAATGCAAATTGTTTTATATATTTTAAATACATCACATTTTAAATAATTTCACATAGAAGCTACACATTTTATCATTTTTAACTATAATTTGACAGTATATTTTGAGATCATAGTTCTATTTTGATAGGCTTATTTAAACAAAATGCGTAGTTGATAAAAATCCTTAGAATAATCCCTAGGATATATAGTACTAAATTGATATAAGTATATTAAGCTTTTAAGTATAAACTATAAAAAGATTAAGTATAATTTATTTGACAATGATATTCTGTATATTTCGATTTCACAAAAAGTTATCCATTTAATGCAAAAATTAAATAAATTCACATAAATAAAATTACATCAAGTGTAAAATATGGGTTTCCATTTCATTAAACGGATAAAATAAATGTGTATTTCATGAATCTAAAACCGACTTACACGATATGTTAGAAGTTCATAAAATTGATATCTCTTTCGTGAAAATCACGGTTACACAAAAGGGATGCGATATATACATACAGCGCGCTCTAGCGCACATTATACTGTACTACGTGTTATGTTCGTTGTAACGCTTGCATCTCGCAATATACAAACATTTTGATCCTTCAGTAGCACATTCGTTTGATAAATTATGCGAAGCTCTATGAACCTTATATTTACACAACGGGTCATTATGCGTGTTGGGTTATTCAAATTATTAGATTTTAAAAAATGACTACTCCACAAGATAGCGCTTGGATATTGCTAAAATTTACAATGAACAATCATAAAAGTTTAGATAACAATTATAATGAAACAAATGCAAATCCTACGAAAAATTAAAACTTAAATTTTTTGTTAATTTAAAATCCAAAACCTTAATATAATTTTTTTTTTAACTGGGTAGAAATCAAAACCAAAATTTTAGTACTTAAAGAACCATCAAAATCTGTATATTTTTTTTTCTAAGAATCGAACCGGAACCGGAACCATAAAATGCAATCTTTGGTTTCAGTTTTTAACAAAAACATTGACTTTGATTTTAAAGTTTTCTTGGTTTAAATGTTTTTCTTGTAATAAAACATAAGTTGGTAGACCTTACCGATTTCGTTAGTAACATCATCCAGTGGCAAAAATCATCCAGGATAATCCTCTTCATTTCACGATTTCACACTAAAAACCGTACAAGTACTTTTTACGACAAGCGTCTAGAGACAAAAAACGCCAAATGGCTGCTGGATGGCGGCCTTATGCTCTTATCAATCGTACCTCCTTATCTTCAAAAATATTTATCAGTATTATCACAGAATACTTTTACTATGTGATATTATCTAAAGAGATTTTGAAATATTAAATATTAACAAACATTCATAGTTCATAAAAATAATTATTAGTAATTCAAATTTTAATGTAAATACTTATAAATTATAATAAATTTAATGTTCAATACTTCAACTATTTCATAATCTTTTTTTTTTTTGTTATTAATTTATTTTATTATACAATCTGTAAATATATTATTTTTACAATAAGTACAAGTATTGTAAAGACAGAAATAGAATACAAATAAAATAAAATAAAAAGGAACTGATGACTTGAACGAAGAATTCATCCAGCGATGGAACTTGACTGCTGAGACTAGATAAGTTTGAGATTAGAGGATTTCGGTGGTCGAAGAGATTTTAATGGAATCGTTTTGGCTACGTGTTGTACTGTTGGAATATAGAGAGGTCATTATGGAGTGTGTATTGTGTATACCTATTATTTTGTAATTATTATTGAAGTATTGAATATTGAATTTATTATAATTTACAACTATTTACATTAAAATTTGAATCACTAATAATTATTTTTATGAACTATGAATGTTTGTTAATATTTAATATTTCATAATTTCTTGAGACAATATCACATAATAAAAGTATTCTGTGATAATACTGATAAATGTTTTTGAAGATAAGAGGTACGATTGATAAGAGCATATGGCCGCCATCTTGCAGCCATTCGGCGTTTTCTGTCTCTAGACGCTTGTCTATTTACGTTGGTTTCGGCATTTAAAGATAAGTCCCTATTGAACAAGGTAAAAATATATTCGACGATTAAAAGAAACTCTTCGTGCAATAAATAATTCAAAAAGTATTCGACTTACAGATACTCACATCAAGATTATATAGAAAATTGGAATATGTCATGACTATTTAAGATTGCAGTGCATCACTATTACTGATCGTCGAAAGCAAACTACGGATTTCGCCCACCGACATTTTTTCCGCCATTTTCTCGTGTACGCATCTATTGTTAAAGGTTGGTTCTTGTCTATATTTTATTTTTTACATTTTTATGTGTTTAAATGTTGTAATATTCAAGCGCATTCACTCTCTTGCGTTTCCCTGAGAGTTATGTAGATATTACAATTATCCAATCATTGAATGTATTCGTAAGGAATGATAAAAAATTATAAAAGACTTGTAATAAAAAATTTAATTAAAAATTATTTAACAGTTGATACTCGTTAATTAATATATAAATAAACAAACAAATAGTTTATAAATATAAATAAATTAATTAATAAAAGATTAATCTCGAGTATTATTATCGTCGATGAATTTTTAATTTGAAATTGATCGCACTTGACAAATATAATAATACTCGAGGATAAGTTTTAGTTTAGTTCTACATATAAGCTATTTGTTTATTTATTTATACTCGTATATTGATAAAAAGTCATATCTATTGGTATCTACCAAGGTTATCCACACTGGTTACTTACCTAAGTTTTTTTTAAATTTATCCATGCTAGAGTATTCTTTTACAAATGTCAAGTAATATTTGATATTATCTATGTATGATTATATATTTATTGTAATCAAATGATTCAAAATTTTAACATCAAACAGTTACAAATACAAATTGTTTTCATAAAATCATATTTTATATTTCGAGTTATCATCAAAATGAATTCAGATTTTATAAATGGATTTATTGTACTCTTTCAGAAAAAATCCTTGAGGATGGTTAGAGACATAGTTGTTGCTACGTCGTTATTGTCATCAGTGGCGAGTGGGGCTAAACGGTTTGGTGAAACATAGACTTTGTTTTTTTTGTTATTTTGAGCTGGTGAAATTGACGAGGCTGACAAATTTTGTTTTAAAAGTATCGGTGTACACAGCGAGGCGAGACGGGTATTCTGTGCGTTATTCATCGTTATGATATTATTATTATTATTAGTTGGAACTGATAGTCAATAATGAGCGCGCATAACGATAACGAAGCAAATATGATACTATATAGTGTATGTACCTATGTTCATGATGAACGTTACGGCCGAACTGTGGTTTGAGAGATAATTTAAGTGAACCGTTTAAGACTCATTTTTGACTCATCTAGTACAATATATATATGTATATATAATATAATTTACGACATGGATTAATACCATTTACTTTTTAGATACTCGTATATTTCAGGTTTAATCTTCAGTCTCTCTTCAGATTGATTTAGAAGTTTATGAAATTACAAACCTTTACCATTGTTATGCTATAACAACATAATTACACTATATTGGTCATTATTTAAAACATTTTTTTTGTTTTCTTATATATTTATTGATTGAAATATTTATCACTCTTGTATTTTGATTTTAGCCATGGCTAGTGCAGGTAGTTCAAAATCTAATACAATTGTAAAATGTTGCTGCTGCCATGATTTATGTTGGAATTTTGATAAAGATATAGTCCGGTGTTCATGTTGTCAAAGAATTTACCACAAATCATGCTACTATCCAACTCTGTTAAATGTTGATACGTAAGTATTTGTTTAAATAAATATACCAGTATTTAATTTTCTAAAATATATTTATATAATTCAATACACCTGTATATTTATTTATTTTATAATTTTAGTTCATTTATTTGTATTATGTGTGAGGACATTAAGAAGTATTCTAAAAATGTCCAAAATATAAATATTTCATTTGGATTCAATGAAAAAAAAATAATTACTCGAATATTAATGGAACTATATTGTAAATCTGAAAACATAGAGTTAGTGAAAGAATGCCCCAATCCCCAAATGGCAAGTAGAAAGACCAATATTAATGTGACAAAAGGTAACTTTTTCTAACTAGATTATTTTTTTATGTTTTAGCATCCAATGTATTATAAAAAAATAAGCCAACCCATGTCATTAGGAAATATCAGGCGATTCTTGGAACAAAATAGATATGATAAAGTGAAATATGTTATATGGGATTTGTCAAAAATATTTGGAAATGTAATGATTTATTTGTCAGTAAGTATCTATAGTAAAAATATTAAACATGTAATATTAGATTTATGGTAGAACCTCTATTATCTGCCATTCTCTTATCTGTCAATATTGGTTTCATGTTATTCTTCGTCTAAACATTATTGTGTATTATTAATATTATATTAAATAAGAAAAAAATTAAAGGTTCTTATGAGCTAAAATACCTAGGTACTAATTATTATACTTCATCCAACTATTACATAGAATGTAATAATTTCTAATTTTTTTTCATTTACCTGTCATTCACTTTATCCTGTTACTGACTAATGATTGAAGTTCCACTGAATTGTACAAATTAATATTTATACATTATTTTTAGTGTAATATTTTTATATTTCCAGCCAAGTGATCCGTATTATAAGATAGCAAATGAACTTAATGATTATTTGTTCAAAATGGTAGAGAAATGGTTACCTAATCTTGAACTCTGAACTTTATAGAAAACATTGGTTTGTAAAAATTATTTATTTATTGTAATATATTATTTTTGAGGCCGGATTAAGCACCTATTGGGCCCCGGGGCTGAAATTTTATATGGGCCCTTTTGACAAAACATGCACTAATTTGGGTATTAAACTACCGCCTCGGCTAGATCCCCCCCTCCCTTTAATCCGGCCTTGATTATTATACTATTTATTTAAAATTTTAAGCGAGAAGCAAAATAAATAAAATTATTTTTAAATCACAAATATTACTTCCTGATATCAAATGTGCATGTACATTTTTACATTAATGTTACAACTCACAGTTAATACTGTTAAAAATTAGACTGAAATAATTAGTATTATAATGATTATGAATTATATTTCAGTATTTTTGAAAGTATTTTTCAACATATGTTGCTTTGTGATTAATAAAAAAAATTACTTGATAGTTTTATTAGTAAAATTGTATTTTAATGTTAATTGTAAATATGATCATATCATCTGAAATGTACATAGTTTTTATGTATTTAAAATGTATTTAAAATATGTAATTAAATTGATTTAACTTAATTTATAATTTTGCTAATGAACAAATTTTAAATGTTGTATTTATTACTTGAAAATTTGGAAAATCTTACTAAATCTTTTTTTTTTTTTTTGCTAAATATTCATCAAATCATATGTTTCACATATTAATTTATTGGAAACATATATAATATGTATACAATTTCTATTAAATTCATCTGTGTAAAAATTTAATTAAAATAAAATGTATATTAAATTATTGTAATTATTTTTAATTTATTACCTCAATTAAAAAAAAAAAAATACTCTATTCTTTTTCCAAAACTTATATTAGTTCTTTTAATAATTCTATCTGTGTACCAACATTTTAATCTAATTTATTTATACATGATATAAAGTTTAATAATTTTTCAATTACTTAATATTACATTTGAAATTATGATAATAATAATAATTTACATGATTAAACCAAAATTTTTTAATAATTACAAATTAGTTATTTTAGATTTAAACTACCATAAAATTAAAACACTGAAATTAATAAGTTTTTTTTTTTAATTTGTACTGGTGAATGGCGTGGTGATGGTTGTCTATATTTTGATACATGTGGATTTTTAAATTTATACATGGATATAACTATATGGGTAACACTATAAAATGTAAGGATACTTCGTATAAGCAACTTAAGGTGCATTAAAGTGAGTTTGAAAACAGTACAAGTATTTCGTTATTCTTATGTATATGATTTTTTTTATGCATATAAAATATATTTAATATAATATAATATACTGAATAATAATTAATATGATTCCGGGTGTCATTTCTACATTTCTTTAGAACCGAAAGCCAAGAACAAAAATAATATTTTCTATGATAAAAAAAAATAAAAAAATAATTCAACTAATAAAACCCTTTTATAATAAGAGAAAAATCGTTAGGTTAGACTAGATTCTTTGTGAAAAACCAATGCACTTCTTTATTGGTCATTAGTAGGGCAGAGGACTTGTAGCTCCAAAAAAAGCTCTAAATATGCAAGCACTTATGCATATAAAAATCCCATAATATGGACTTAAAAATTTTCTAGCCTTTTTATTTAAAAGTATTAATAAAATAAATAGTGTTTAAAACAAGTCAGAACAATTACATCATTTAAATATATTACTCGCGTATATAAAAGCCAAATAAATTGTACTTTGCCCTATTTTTTTCAGCAATAAGATGAAGTCCGTGCACAATACAAGTAACGTGAATAACTTTAGAATAGAATATTTTTATTGATTTCCCGGTTTTCACCATATAAGGCACCTCATCAATTAAAAACAGTAGGACGTCGTCGTGGCGCACTTCTTCTGGCCACAATAGATGCATTGAATTATCAAATAATTTCACAATAGTCGATTGATTAGCTTTGGTCAGTACTTCGGAATTCAATAAAAATGCTTGGCCTGGACCATCGGTTTCAAAAGTACCGATTACTCCGTTTGCAATGTATCGACCTATTGAGTCGGTGGTCTCATCTATTGATATCCAGATCTTTTTACCAGTGATAGCATTTTTAATTTTATTCATAGTTTCAGAATACATTTCATCGACATAGCCTTTGCGTAATGTACTAATGACCGGAATTTGTTTCTCCGTATATTTTTCCAAAAACTGTTTGAATTGAACGTTACCTAGCTTATTAAGAGGTATGTTGGTTGATAGAATTGCAGAATATAAGTCTTTATTAAAATATGATTTTTTTAGAATTACTCACCAATTGTACTTTTCCCAATTAAAGTACATTTTGGTTTTTTTCTTTACGTTTGATGGAATTTTTGTGTTTGTCTGTATTAATGTGTTGCGTAACATTAAACCGTTTTTCACTCTTTACTTTAACCTCACAATAGTTACAGTACAGGACTTTACCATTGGTCGAAAACGTACGGGCACCAAACTCAGACACAAAACATTTTAACCGACTACTTAAATGCTGTTTATTTTTCGGCATTTTATTACAAATTAAAATGTTCAAAGAAATTTATAATACAGCTAATAATAAGTCGGCACGGTAACACGAATATACATTCCGCAGAACTGACCGAGACTAAATACTAAAATATTGAGTATTGTCTTGTATAAAAAACGTTTAATAAATCAATCCTAATCGAATAAAAGCCCACATGGTGCGTACACGACTGTGGTGGTGATGCGTAGGTGTAGTGTACGACGTTAGATCATTATCACTTTTAGGAAAAATGTGTGCCCGCGGACAGTCAAAAACCATATTATTAGACAACAATTAAAAATAAATAAATTTCATCCAAATATTTTGACTGTATTGTTTGAAATAAAAATGTCACTTTGGAAAAAATCGATTTAAGTTAAATATGTCTCAAAAAGTATAAAATAGCGTATAAAAGTGTAAAATATGCCCTAAAAACAAAAAGTACTCAAAATATACATTTATATGCAAAATACAATTTCAAAACTAGCTTTGTGAAAGCATGGAACGTACTCTGCTATTCTTGTGACTATACAAAACAAATATGCAAATGTTTCAAGTCTTCTGCCTTAGTCATAATACAGTAAATAATGACCTAGGTTAAACCAATTTCCAACAAACCTTAACATTTTTATAGTTTGGAAACAATTGTTATATATTTTGAGCGACGCTAATGTATCTTATGGTAATCTTATGGTTTTACTATGATATTAATTTATTTTTATTTTAATTTTTTTGTAAACACTTTATTAGATAGAAATACTGTTCCAAAAACTTCATCTAGTAAATTTTTTTGATTCAAAATCGGCCTGCGGTGATACTAGTAACCAGTGGCGTAGCCAGGAATTATCTAAGGGGGGTTTATGTTTTTGTACATCACTAAAATATATTGCCCCGGTATGGTAAAACTGTAAATGGTCTACTGAGTTGTACGTAAATAGAATAATATATCCTTGATAAGACGAATAATGATACCTATTTGTGAACGTTATTATTATTTATAATAATAGTACAAAGTACACATTTATTGAATAATATAGATACATAGGTAAAAGTATAAAAAAAAAATCATTATTAAATTTTAATATAAGTATTAATATAAATTAAAAATATTTATATAATATTAACATTTACATTCTAAGTTAGGTATAATAAATAAGTTATAGCAATCTTATTTTTCTTGAGATTTTAGCAAAGTTATCAAGAACTTCATCTGTAGTTAAGACTATTTCACGATGAATATTTAGTAATGCTAAACTATTTAGTCGATTTCCTCCAGTAGTATTTCTGAGGTATGTTCTAAGTCTTTAAGGTAGAAAATGACCTTTCACTGCTTGTTGTAGTTACGGGAAGTGTAGCTAGTATTTGCAGAAGTTTATAAGTCTATGGAAAAATGAGTGAATTACATGTTATAAGAACTTCCTATACATTTTTTGGTTTTTATGCTTAAACAAACTTTTGTGTCCATGTTAATACTTCTCCAATTACTGAATTAGTACTAGATTTAAATCTTCACTGTACTTTTTTGCAAACTTTTATTGTTTTTTTCTTTATCTGGCAAATTATTGTTTGGCAAGAGACACCAAAAATAGGCGATCAGTTATTTATGTACAATGAACCAATGAACTTCAAAGCATGAAGTTGTTTAATAAAGTTATCTAAAAATGGAATGAACAATGATATTTTATGGTAATCGTCGTTTGGGCAGGTAGGTTTTACATTAAAACGATTTTTCTGTATGTTTGTAACACGAGGTAAAGTTATTTCAATATCAAGTGACATATATTTTTTTTTCATTTCCATTAATATTTTTTTAAATTCTTCGTCAGCATTATTTCTAATATTTTTTAACACATTAAAAACATTATCTGACAATTATATGGCTTCAACTAAATCAATATTTTGATATTGAAGAAGTTTACTGAGAGGTAAACTTATACTAAATACTTTTGCTAGTAGATATGTTGCTGATTGAGTAGATATGAGTTGATAAATTTCTGATGACGAATCTCTGTCTGACCATGTAGAAATAATGGATAATCCATCAACAACTACATCAAATAACTCCATAAAAGTAATTATGGAGTCATGCCGATCGAACCATCTTGTCGAACAAAGTAATTTTAATTTTGTAATCTGAGATCCAGAACAAATACGTTTTACTGATTCTAACATTACGTTTTGTCGTTTAGGGTATTTAAAAAACACGCATACTTCATGTATGGTGCCAGTACACTTTCGTATGGACTGAATATTACACGATCAGATATTGCTAAATTTAAACAATGTGAGGTGCAATGAATGTAGTGAGCAAATGAATATTTTTGCAATAGTTTTTGATTTGATTTTCTGACTATGTATAGTATCCGTAGTAATTACTAATTAGTAAAAACTCAACAGTAAACATTTAATAAGCCAACAAACTAGTAGACTACTTCAGTAGAAAACACTCAATACTTAAAGATATAACGTCTCTAACTCTCAGCAGCACAGTGTTATCACTGCGAAACTGTATCATATGATTACAACTAATGAGTTATCACTGGATTCTACTATCAACACTGATATCGATAGATATGCGACAATAGTACTACACGATATAAAGCCACTTGCTCGCGAAAAATCCATTATAAATTACTGATTATTTAAAATAATTCTCATAATATATAAATCATAGATCATAAAGTCAACTGCATTAATTAAAAAAAAAAAAACAAAATAAAACTCTTTACCCCGAGCTAGAGGGTATCCACACTGGTGGACCATGGTGGAACGCCATTTCACGTTATGTTCCT